CTGCTTCCATCGCTGAATATCGACTCCTTACCGTCACTTATGGTACGACATCGACTCCATTCGTCGCCCTACGAGTTCTAAAGTTAACTTATTCAGTCCTGTGAAAAGAAATACGAGGGAATGAGAATGTGTGTTCGACAGGTATCACAGATCGCCGCATAATGCTGGAGGATCGCACGCAGTGGCTCACATCCGACGTTGACAACTGTTCCTGTTGCTGTGAGCAACAGAACGGCGATCAGTGGCCGGAGGACGCCGAAAAGTGGCAGAAATCGTCGCGCGCGAGAAGATTTCTGAGAGCCATTGGCAACTGCTGCATCTGCACGCTGCGCTGCGTGAGACGATGGATCAAGAAGCTCGTGGAGCACAAGTACTTCCAGCAGGGTATTCTACTGGCGATCCTCATTAACACCTTGAGCATGGGAATCGAGTATCACAATCAGGTGATTCTCCACTGGATCATAACCGATCACATTTCGCACAGATCGTACGGTGTAGTATAATTAATGTGTGTCACTTCGCTTTCACTTGCGGCTCTTTAAAGCCTAATCTATCAATGTGCTCTTTGCGTTTTGTTTCTTGTTTTCTGTCTTTTTCTGGCTTAAAGCTTAAGGCTTGAGTTAGAAGAAGAGTTAAAGACAAAGAAGCAAGTAGCAAAAAATACATTGTAGATCAAGCTTAATCCTTTCAAGACGGAAGACATATTTTATTGCTTTACGGCCTTCATGCATATATTTTAGAAACTATCGATCCGATATTCACAAAAATTGGTATGTTTTGGGGGTTTTTTGGGGTACTCTTCCCCAATTTGAAGTCAAAAATGTAAAATTCAAAATGGCGGATCAAGTTTGGTGATTTTCAAAATGCCAACCCGAGAAAAAAAGTTCAGACGAAAGCCAGATATGAATTTTGTCAAGATCTGATCAGATATAATCAGATATTATGCTATATATGATTCAAATCTGTCTACATATAATAATATATAATCATATATACAAATATATATTTGATTATATATGATTATATATAGACAGATCTGAATCATATATAACGTTATATATAACGTTATATCTGATTATATCTGATCAGATCTTGACAAAATCCATATCTGGCTTTTATCTGAACTTTTTTTTCCCAGGAAATTACGTAAATATAACTCAATTTGCGTGGAACTTCATACTCTCTAAATTTGAATTAGTGAAAATCTTGACTGATTTCCAGTTTCGCTCTTCTTGAAGCTCATCACAGTACCAAACTTTAATTTAGTTAGCGAACCATTCTCGCAAGGGTGAGTACAAATGAGCAGATGTGATCAGGTCGGGTTAGGTCTAAAAATTGTTTTCCTTGGTCGGAATTTTGAATTTTAAATATTCGATATCAGTTCTCAAAAAAATATCTTTAAAAAGTTTCACAGTTAAAATTTCACGAAAATTGAGTGATATTTATATTCTTTATCTTGAATCACAAAATTTTAAAAATCTAAGCTCAGATTCGGATTCAACAACCCCAAAAACCCATAGAATACGATTCCCTATAATTATCTCCCCGAGCAACCCTCCGTTCTGAAAGGACACGCTTAGTAACGCTTTACACGCCAAGTAAAAGAGAAAAGATTAAAGAGAGAAGAGAGAAATCGCCGCTATGCGATCGCCTAGGGCTAGCTACTTCGGCGAGATCCAAATTTAGCGACTCGCCGATCTTCTAAAATAAAAGTCGAAGCGTAATCGTCGCGTTATTTCGTTGCGTGTGCAGCCGGAACAACTGACGGTCGCTGTCGAAATAAGCAACATCGTATTCTCGGCAATCTTCGCGGTGGAGATGTTGCTTAAGATAATAGCGGAAGGCCCGTTCGGTTACATCAGCAACGGCTTCAACGTCTTCGACGGTATCGTCGTCGTTCTAAGGTAGAATAACTCTTTTTCTGAAATGTCGCCTTGTTTGCTGGTATTTATTCTCACTTATCGCCATCATCGCATTAACAGTGTCATTCTGAACGTTGATGTCGCAAAATACACTGCAAATCCAAGTGTGTAATAAGTACACATTCATGTAAAAGTACTCATATGGTTTGGAAGTAACTCGTTACTTGTAACGAAATTACAGTTACAGTTACATTTTTTTGATAACTGTAACCTTGCTTAGTTACTTTTTCCCATCTGTAATTGCAACTTAACTTAGTTACTTACTTTTAGTAACTTGTAACTTTTTTAACAATTACTTTAATAATTACTTGGTGAACATAAAATTAAATTAAAATGGTATAGTAATCGTATATTAATTTAATAAATTTATCAAGCACACATATGTAGTATTTATGGAGTACGTGAATAAATTCTTTTACCTCTAAAAGAAACTATCATTAAATTTTTATTATATTAAGTACAGATTTGAGATTTGTTAAGTGGATAGATTAATTAATATGATAGATATTAATTATAAAATTCAATTCTTACATTTTAATAAAGCTTAAAATATAAGATTTTTGTATTTACAATAATAATTTACAATCACTTCAAGAAAATAACTTAAAAGTAACGACTCGTTACTTTTTGAATAACTGTAACTGTAACGAATTACTTTTCGTAGACAGTAACTTGTAACTGTAACTAATTACATTCTCAGCAAAGGGAACAGTAACTAGTTACTTTTAAAAAGTAACTTCCCCAAGCCTGCTCACTTATATGTGCAATTTTGTTTTTTGTGTAAAATTTATACCTTGTCGTGTATAAAGAAAAACATTTACATATTTAAATGTAAATTATGCATTGTCGTGTATAAAGAAAGACATTTACACATTTAAATGTAAATTAAGTGATGTAACATGTTTTCCTGCGTATAAAATGACACACAAGATGAAACATGTAAAAATAGGGAGACGTATACTTTCACATAATTAAAATGTATAAAAATATATACATAAAACGTCTTTTACGTCTTCTTACACAGAAGATTAACGTATAATTAAGAGGAAATGTTTATTAGGTTTTAGAAAAAGTCTTCATTTGAGAAATTCAATAAAAACGCAAAGTATTTCTTGCAAATCTACACTGCAAATCCGTGTGTTATTCTTAAACGTATAAGCGTGTAATTGGCTGAAATTCTTCTCACACATCTTTTGCAGTTTTTTAAATTATGTTATGCAACACGTTTATAATGTATAAATTAGCATTTTATATATTTGAGCGTGTTAAATGATGCGATTTGAGACAGTAGAAAACATGTAAAAAGAAGTTCATCCAATTACACGTTTATGCGTTTAAAAATAATTTGCAGCGCAATCTATAATAATTTCTTTCTATTATTTTCTAATATTTTCTGTCATTAAAGAACATCACGCGAATTTTCTAATAATAAGATAATAACATAAATAAGACGAGAGAGAATTAATATTTGTTTTTTTAATCCAACTCACACAACATACACACACAACACAACAAACAAAACACAAACAACACAAACATAACACACACATCTATTATTTATTTGCATTTAGCTAAAGCTATTTTTTATTTTACCAAAGACTAAAAATACAAAACATCTAAAATCTTTCATAATATAGTCGTCCTCGTTAATAAAGTCCTTTTCGCTATAATATGCATTTATCTTCTGGAAAAAAATATTTTCATGTTATAATACATATTTTATTAAAAAAATATACATAAATAAAATATATATAAATACATAATTTTATAAGAAATAATTTTTTTCAATAATTATAAACTATTTTCAGTTAATTTAACCTATTCCCAGCATATCAAAAATTTGAAACGTGTAACTTAATAAATACGTATAAAGAATACGCATTTAAATATGTAAACTTACACAGTTAAAATGTGTAGATAAAATTACACGTATAGTATAAATGCGTAAAAAGTGACACATATTTTTACACATATATAAACATGTAAAAATGACACGCTTGGATTTGTGGTATATTAACGATATATTAGTGCGAACAAGTAACATGCGATTTAGATATACGTATGTAATATCGAGCAAATATCCATGTGCTAAAGAAATAATGTCTCATAAACTGCGTGTGTATCGACACGTGACCAGCGCGGCCGTTCAATTTTACGAGCGCTGTTCGAGTTTTACGAGAGTGCCGCGTAATACACGGCGTACAAACACGTAACAGTATTCTCGTCAAACTCTCGCGAGCCGATACAATCGGAACGCGTCAACGATACCGAGCCAATAAGTATCAATTCAAGACTTACATATTTTAACGGACGCGATCATTGTTTCATATATAAGCAAGAATATATTATTTTCCCACAGCAATTTCATATTTTTTGAATTTCAACAATTTTGTAATGTCATGGCAAGATTACGATGGTCCACTATAGATAATTTTAAGTTAAAGAAATTCTTTGAAAATATCGTTTTTTTCGTCCAATATTAGTGAATAATGATTCTCAAGGAAATTATTCTTGAATAACGAGAATATTATATTTTTGGTGAAACTATATTCAATTTCTTCATGTAAGCAAGTTTTCTCTGTTTAACGCTGTACAGGATGGTCCACTTAAATCGAACACCTTAAATGTTTCACTTATTTTTGATGATACGGAAAAATTGGAAGGGTGTTGAGGAGGACTATTTTGGTCACTTTGTGTTTTTTCTAGATGGAGGTGCTAAAAAAGTATGAGGGTCGCCTTCACTTTTTTAAATTGAATTATGATTTTTTTATAAATGTGATTCCTTTATTTATTTTGTATGTATAAAAATACTAAGAAGTATAATTGTCGAAAAATCACAAGATATTTTATTAGAAAAATTACAAGATATTTTATACTTTATTCTGACAAAAAATTTAGTTTAAGGAGATGTTCAAAATGATGTCCTCCGACTTCAATATATTTAAATCCCATCGAGTTTTTGCTTAGGGAACGTTGAAAAACATTGTTTTCAATAATGTATCAACTACACAAGAGAACATAAAAGAATGTATTTTGGAAGCATGTATGAGTATAAATTCAGAAATTATAGAAAATGTAAGAATATCATTTATGTATCGTACCCGAAAATATATATTGAAGTTGGAGGACATTATTTCGAACATCTCCTTGACTAAATTTTTTGTCAGAATAAAGTATAAAATATCTCGTAAACTACTGATTTTTCGACAATTATATTTAATATTCTTAATATTTTCATACATAATATAGTAATATTTATTAATATTTTTATACATAAAATAAATAGAGAAATCATGTTTATAAAAAATCATAATTCTACTTAAAAAAGTGAAGGCGATCTTTATATCTTTTTAGCGCCTCCATTTAGAAAAAAACGTGACCAAAATGTATCCTCCTCGACACCCTTCCACTTCCGAAACATTTTTCCGTATGATCAAAAATAAATAAAATATTCAATATTTTATTGCATAATGGGTGTTCGATTTAAGTGGACCACCAATGTATAAGCAAAAATGTATTATTTTCCTACAACAATTGAATATTTTTAAATTTCAACAATATTATAATGTCCACTAGATAATTTCAAGTTAAAGAAATTATAATTCTTGGTTTGAAAATATCGTGCTTTTCGTCCAATATTCATTGTTCTCAATTCAAGAAAATTATTCTTGAATAACAAGAATATTATATTTAATATTCTTAATATTTTCATACATAATATAGTAATATTTATTAATATTTTTATACATAAAATAAATAGAGAAATCATGTTTATAAAAAATCATAATTCTATTTAAAAAAGAATTATATATTTTTGGTGGAACCATATTCAATTTCTTCATGTAAGCAAGTTTTCTCTGTTTAACGCTATACAATCTCATTTCAACACGAACATGTTGAGAATATAGAAATAAGAATGTTCCTTTTCTTCCGTGCATACAACACGGAATGCACTTGTGGTGACGCGTGTTTTCCAGCGTCGTCGAGCTCTGTCAGGCGTTCGTGGAGGAGCGCGGCGGCAGTTCCGGTCTGAGCGTGCTGCGCACCTTCCGTCTGCTCAGGATCCTGAAGCTGGTGCGCTTCCTGCCGAATCTGCGACGGCAGCTCTTCGTGATGCTGCGCACCATGGATAACGTTGCCGTATTCTTTTCTCTTTTAGTACTTTTCATCTTTATATTCAGGTAAGTCACCCAACCGTTGTCCGCGTCGTCGACGCTGTCGGAATTCTTCGGGCGTCGCGCCGTCGCCGGGTTTTCTCTCCGTTTTCTTTTTTCACTTGTGTTCCTTTGCTCTTATTTGACTTCTTTTGTGATCCACCCTTCTCGCGAATCGCGCCAGGTGTCGTCGTCGGGTCGACGAGGCACCGTACGATCGTTTCTCGTTTCGCCGTATGCGAAAGGGATCTCGAGTGAACACGCGTGTGTCGCGTTAAGGAAACATGGATTGTATTGGGCGCTGTCGCGTCTTCCTGTTCTAATTATCATTTTCATCAGCGTAGTAACGTTTGCATGTCTGGCAAGGCGGATCGAAGTTACGAAATTGCCGATAGGTATTGTCAAAATATGGAAAAACGCTTTGAAATATGAAGCGTCGATGATGACGACGGCTGTTGTATCCGAAGAGGTTATCGCGTATATCGTTCGCGCACGGAAAAGAAGGTTTGGTTGAACTAACCAAATATCTGATCGAGTATGAACGATCCAGAAATTCCGATTGAAAACCCAGACAACATAATGTCCAAAATTGGATAATGTCCAACATAATGTCAAAAATTTTTCATATATAATTATATAAAATTATATATAATTATATAAAATTATATATAATTATATATAATTATATATTATTATGTATCAAATTTATCCATTCATGTTCATACATTCTACTTATATATATCATTATATATAATTATGTATAATTATATATATAAATTCATATATAATTTTACATAATTACGTTTAGATTTATATGTAATTATACATATTGTTATACATAATTGTGTATAATTATATATAATTTTATATGATTATATATAATTATACATAATTATGTATGGACAAATTTCATATATAATTTTGCATGAAAAATTTTTCATCAACTAAATTTTTAGTCAACCAAAAACTTTGTTAACTTAAACAGAATTCGAGTTCCCAGACAACATAATGTCTAAAATCGGGACATAAGACATCTTAAAGATAATCTTTAAGATGCCTTAAAGACACTTATACGTAAATCGTCTGAAGGACATCTTAAAGATGATCTCTAAGACGTCTTATGTCCCGATTTTAGACATTATGTTGTCTGGGAACTCGAATTCTGTTTAAGTTAACAAAATTTTTGGTTGACTACCCGATGAAAAATTTTTCATGCAAAATTATGTATGAAATTTGTCCATACATAATTATGTATAATTATATATAATCATATAAAATTATATATAATTATACACAATTATGTATAATAATATATATAATTACATATAAATCTATGCGTAATTATGTAAAATTATATATGAATTTATATATATTATTATACATAATTATATATAATTATATATAAGTAGAATGTAATGAATGGACAAATTTGATACATAATAATATATAATTATGTATAATTTTATATAGTTATATATGAAAAATTTTTCATTGGGTAACCAAACATGTCTGGTAAATAAGCATGTTTGGTTAGTCAACCAAAAATCTTGTTAACTTAAATAGAATTCGGGTTACTTGAATCAGAATTTCTGAATCGACCAGACATTTGGTTAATTCAACCAAATCTTCTTTTCCGTACGGGATAGTTATAGGAAAAGGCACGGTGGTCTTTAGGCGCGCGAATCGCGGTAATAGTATACTTATCACTGCGATCGACGCAATAACGGAATTTGACAATGACGTTTTGTATATCACTGTCGTTCGTCAGTTTTTATATATCAACATGAACATATAATAGCAGAGAGAGCCCCATGAATAAGTTTCACGATCTTTTTTTAACAATGTTCTCAGAATTAATATTTCTCTCCCAAATATGCTAGAAGAAGGTAAGGATACGATCGTCGAGAAATGTATATTTTATATGATAATAATTTTATGTGTGTATCCACAGGTTGCAAGTTTAATTTAAAAGATTGCAATGACATATTGATCTAATATAACGATGTAAGTCTTTAGAGCTTCGCGTGTTACTTACAATTGTTACAGTAGTATATTTGATCGTACGATAATAATAACGCGGCGTCGACGCTCGATATTTCGAAAGCAGCCTCTTGCTCGCTTCTTCGAGCTTTCGCAGGAGTAAATCGCGCCGCTGCTCTACGAGCCAAGGTCTACCACTAGGTGACTGTCTTCTGTTCATACCTTTTCTCTTCTTCTTTATTCGCTTTTACTTTGTTTCTGCGCGGTGTATGAGCCGCCACCAGTTTTAATGCATATACCACATATATATATATATATATATATATACATATATATATATATATATATATATATATATATATATATATATATA